CTTCTTGATGGCAGACCAATCACTGGTATGATAGTTCGACGTCATTCTGCTCAACGACCACAACTTATCTTTTGAACATGTTGCAATTTTGATAGGACTATCGAAAAATCATTTGGCAGTCTCATCCGACAAATCGCAACCATGGGGTCCGCTTGCACTCAGACATTGTGCCAAAACGGCTACACACGTGAAGCTCAGGCGCAGGTGGCCTCCTCCCAACTCTCCTCCTCCACGTCCTCCTCCTCTTCCTCCTCCTCCTCCTCTCCCATCCCCTCCCTCTCGTCCCCCACACTCGGACCTCCCTCTGGTCAAATTCGTCGAGCGAAACTCGACCTCGGGGCATTTTCGACCTCGACCTCGAACTCAACCTCGAGGCATTCGTCGAACTCGACCTCGCGGAGGGGATATGATGAGCTTCCAGGGCAACGTTTGTGTGGAGTAGGGTTTCGGGAACGGCGTTCGCCAGAAGGCATAACGTCGGCCCTTGGGGGCCGTGCCTCAATCTTGGGGGCTGCGCGCGGCGTCGAAGCGGCGAGCGATACCTCCGTACGGCTTCGAGTTAGTCTGATCGCTCTGGTCGCATCTTCCTCCTCCTCCTCCTCCTCCTCCTCCCTCTCCTCCTCCACGTCCTCCTCCTCTTCCTCCTCCTCCTCCTCGTCCTCCTCCCCCATCCCCTCCCTCTCGTCCCCCGCACTCGGACCTCTCGCTGGACAACTACGTCGAATGAAACTCGACATTGATTCACTGTTTTGGGCTGGGCGCCACCCTAAAGGAGGAGGGGGTATGAGGAGGAGGAGGAGGAGGAGCAGCAGCAGCAGCGGCAGCAGCAGCAAGGCGTCACGGCCGCCACCCAGTAGCAGGAGGAGGAGGAGGAGGAGAAGGAGGAGGAGGAGGAGGAGCAGGAAAGCGTAGCGGCCGCCACCCAGAAAGGGGAGGGAGGGGGGAGGAGGAGGAGGAGGAGGAGGAGGAGGAGGAGGAGGGAGGAGGAGGGAGGAGGAGGAGGAGGAGGAGGAGGAGCAGCAGCAGCAGCAGCAGCAGCAGCAGCAGCAGCAGCAGCAGCGGCAGCAAGGCGTCACGGCCGCCACCCAGTTGCAGGAGAAGGAGGAGGAGGAGGAGGAGGAGGAGGAGGAGCAGGAGGAACGCGTAACGGCCGCCACCCCGAAGGATGAGGGGGGAGGAGAATGAGCAGCATCAGCAGCAGCAGCATCAGCAGCAGCAGCAAGGCGTAACGGCCGCCACCCAGTTGCAGGACGAGGAAGATGAGGAGGATGAGGATGAGGAGGAGGAGGAGGAGGAGGAGGGGGAGGAAAGCGTAACGGCCGCCACCCAGAACGAGGAGGGATTGGGAGGAGGAGGAGCATCAGCAGCAGCAGCAAGGCGTAACGGCCGCCACCCAGTAGCAGGAGAATGAGGAGGAGGAGGGGAAGGAAAGCGTAACGGCCGCCACCCAGGATGAGGAAGAGGAGGATGATGAGGAGGAGGAGGAGGAGGGGGAGGATGAGGGGGAGGAGGAGGAGGAGGAGGAGGATGAGGAAGACAGCGTCACGGCCGCCACCCGTGGGATGCTGATGAAGAGAGGGCCTGCGGGATGATAAGGACGAGGTGGGGGATGAGCGATCACGTGTCCACTCTTCAACTTTTCAGCGCGAACCCCCGTGCACTGATACAAACGCGCCAAACGCGCCCTCAATCAATCACCACGATCTCTGTAATCTCGCTATCTGTTCTGGACTGGGCTACACCCCTGGTCTGCATAGATACACCCATGGACGAATCACGTGAAGGCACCCCGCTGGCGGAAGCACCCATATGTACAGCGCCCGTCGAATCATACATGGATACACCACCTGAAGAAGAAGAATAATAATGAGAAGAAGACGAAGAAGACGAAGAAGCGCCATTCTTAGAAGCACGACCACCGTACGTGGATGCACCACTCGCCGCATGTTTTCTTAGCTTCGGCAGCCATACACGGACCATAGATTTGTGTTCAATTTGCCACCATTTTTTTGTGAACGTGTTCTTAAACTCTTTTTGCCTCCTTCTGAAATCCCGTTCCCACTCTTGCGCGCTTCGGTCGAAATGCGGATGGCATGGGTCGAAGCAAGGGGACAAGTCCCATACATGTTGCTTGTCGTCTGACTTCAGCTCTGCAGATCTATTCTTCTGTGGTGTTTCTAGGAACTGATCTTGAGATGACATCCGAATACTTCACTTGTGTATACTCGAAGTAAACAAATTGCAAGTGCTCGAGCCCCAAACACCTACGGACACGACGCACACACAGTGGCAAGGGTTCTTGTTGTACACGTGCGCGCATTTCGGCACACCGCCACCGACGGCTCCAGTGACTTGCGCACCGCTCACACGTGTCGTGGCCGCATGCTCGCAGATGTGCCGCAGCACTCGCACTTATACATGGGCTGGGTCCTCCGCATGGATTAGCGTTCACCTCAGACCAGCAAATTTACTATACGCACCACGTGCCATGTCGGGTTTGGTGGGCTAAGCTTGGATACAGCTAATGCGGCCGCTGCTCGCTCGGGGAGAAGATGGGAAGATAGGGACATCGACGCGGCTGTCACCCTAATGATCTCTTCGGTTGCACGCCATAGAACGCGTCGCGGCACATATTCAGACGAAGATCGGCTCGGACCCCAATATTGGATCCAATTTAGGGCTTGTTCATTCCCCCTAAACCGTAAAATATCTGGTTGGTATTGTTTTAAAGGAATTCCGTATGTCTTACGGATTTTTTTTTTTTTTTTTAAAAGGAATTATATGTTTTACGTGTGGATTTTAAAGAATTCCTTTAGATTCTACGGTTTTTCTTCAAAAAGCATCCGTAAGTTTGCGGAATCCGTTATCTTTTTGAATAAACCTTACGATTATGAAGATTTTGATGGTCGGGGGTGCCCGCGGGTGCCCGGGTGCCCGGGCGTGCCCAGGGGTGCTTGGGGGTGCCCGGAGGTGCCATATAGCCCTATAGCCCAATAGCTTTATAGCCCCACAGCTCTATAGCCCGATAGCTCTATAGCCCTATAGCTCAATAGCCCTATAGCCCTATAGCCCCCTAGCCCTATAGCCCTGATTCCCCAATCAGAGCTTGCCTCTGTAGGGGTCCTAGCGGATATAAAGCTGAGGTGGGGTGGGCGGCCGATTTCGGTGGCCGGGGCCGGGTGCCCGGGTGCCCAGGGGTGCTCGGGGGTGCCCGGGTGCCCAGGTGTGTGGCCGATTTCGGTGGCCGGGGCCGGGTGCCCGGGTGCCCGGTGCCCGGGTGCCCAGGGGTGCCCGGGTGCCCGGGGTGCCCAGCAGTGCCCGGGGGTGCCTAGCCCAATAGCCCTATATCCCTATAGCCCAATAGCCCAATCGCCCTGTAGCCCTATAGCCGTATAGCCCTATAGCCCCAATAGCCCCATAGCCCCATAGCCTTATAGCCCTATAGCCCTATAGCCCTATAGCCCTATGGTCCTAAAGCCCTATAGCCGTATATAGCCCTATAGCCCTATAGCCCGAATAGCTTTATAGCCCTTAGCCCTATAGCCCTACAGCCCTGTAGCCCTATAGCCCCATAGCCCTAAAGGCTTCTAGCCCTATATCCCTATGGCCACATCGCCCTATAGCCCTATAGCCCTATAGCCCCATAGCCCTAAAGCCCTAAAGCCCCATAGCCCCCCCTAAATTCGGATTGGGTTTTTTCTCTGGTATCATGGGGGGTTTTCTCCGGTATCATATGTTTAGGTTAGGCTTGCCGCCGATTGCCCGGGTGCCCGGGGGTGCCCGGGGGTGCCCGGGGGTGCCCGGGGGTGCCCGGGTGCCCGCGAGTGCCCGGGCGTGTCTGGGGGTGCCCTGGTGCCCTGGTGCCTGGGCGTGCCCGGGGGTGCCTGGGGGTGCCCTGGGGTGCTATAGCCCAATAGCTTGATAGGTCTACAACACTATAGACCTATAGCTCTGTAGCCCTATAGCTCAATATTCATAAGGTTAGGTTAGGTTTGCCGCCGATTTTCGCGGCACTATAGCCCTGATGGGGTTTTTTCTCCGGTATCATGTTTTTACGCATGGGGCTTATGTTCTAAGAACATGGCTATTGATTTTCGAACATGTTTGGGTTCTAAATCATTTCGTGGTAGGACTATAGGAATGCCGGGACGGTCGGTCCTTGCTCAAATATCGTCGCACTCGTGGGCTGGGTCCCTGGGCCGTGACCCCCATGGATGCGTTGCGTTTTTCGCGCAGGCCCCACGCAGAGCGTATCCATGCGACCGCGTATGATCGCGTCCCAGAAGCCAGACCAGGAGGGCGAGGATATTGACAGGGTTGTCGCTCGTGAGCGCCCCCCTTATTTTTCAGCAGGCGCGGCCCTCTTCTGCCCTCCCCCCTCCCCGCGTCTCCTGATTACCTCTTCCCGCGGCCTGCCCTCGTTATCATCCCTCCATATACTAGGCTACGGGCGGAATTTTCCCATGCAGAGGGTGTTGCCGCATAGCAAGACAGATCTTTCAACCCCAAAGGGCCGTCTAATGGCGGTCCGCCGGCTCGTAGATCTGGAAGGTTGGCCAGCCATTCTTGTCATCCTACTATACCCCGTTGCTCCATTCTCCCCCTCCCCTTCCTCCTGCTCCTCCGATTCCTCGCTGCGGCTTGTTAGTGTCGTTCAGAACCTCTTCGCCCCTCCCCCCTCTTCCCACACACTCCTGCCACTGGAGAGGATGGGGAGGAGGGGGGATCAGAGGAGGCGGGTGTCGGTGTGATGGGTGCAGTTCGACCTCTTTAGTGTTTACAGCAGGAGCTGGGATGACCGGGCCGATGGGTGTAGCTTTAAATCGGGCATGTCCGTCTACAGCCAGAATATTCAAACATATTCCAGGAATAGTCCGGGGACGATTTCCTCAACAGGTTTAAGCTATTTTTGATATTTCTTGGATCATCTTATATGTTTCGTCCGAAATCCGCCTGTAGGGGGACATGCCCGACCTCAGTGTAGCTGGGGTCGCCTGGAGGTGTTTCACCTGCCCGGCGGCCTCCTGGTCGCCTGGTTCACGCCCGAGGAGCTCCAGAAGTGCGCGGCGGCGGACGGCACCAAGGCCCTGGGCCAGTGGCTCTCCAGGGTCACCTTCCCCCTGAGGACCCCGCTGCTCCAAGCACTAAATCGGGCATGTCCCTCTGCAGGAGGAATATTTTCAAAAGTAGTCAAAAGGTCGCCTGGAGACGATTTTTGTTTGTTTGTTGTTGGTATTTCTGAATATTTGTTGTTTTTTTTTCCGTTCGTGCAAACCCGCCTGTAGGAGGACACGCCCGACCTAGTCCAAGCACCCTCCCCCAAGCTACTTCCTGCCCCCCCCCTCCCCCCCTAGCCCCCTCTTCCACTCCGCTTGCATTTCCTCCTTCTCTCGCCCGTTGGCCTTCTAACCAACGCGTCCCCCCTCAACCCCCTTCTCCCTTCCCCTCAACCACCCCTCCCCTCCCCCGCCCCCACCCCGTCCTATCACCCGCCCCCCTCCCCAATCTTCCCGCGCGAGCCACCCCTTCAACTCCCCACCTGCAGCCAAGCCGCTGAACGTAAGGAACAGTTCGGGTTCGGCAGTGTCTCGCTTTTGCTCAGGTTCTTCCACGGATGTTCCTCCAGCGATCCTCGTGCACCCAGGTGCTTTTGGGGGGTTCGAACGAAGGCCTTCGTTCCTCACTTCGCGTTTCGCACCGTGGCAGCCTGACTGCGAGCGGCAGCCGCGAGGAAGTCCAAGAGGAGGCGCTCAAGGAGGCTCCACACGCTCGAGTCGATTGTCACCAATCTCAGCGCGGATGAGGACTCCGCGAGGAGGCTCTCCTCCGTCTCCGTGGACGAGGAGTCTCTGACGCTGTGAGGCGCGCCGCGCTTCTGCGCTTCAGCTGCCTCCTGTCGCCCCCCCCCTCCCCCATCCCGCTCCCCCTCCTCATCCTCCTCATCCTATCCTCCTCCTCCTTTCTTCCTTCCTTCCTTTTTTTCTGTTCGATCCTCCTTCTCCTCCTCCATTCCTTTTCTTCTACATGCTTCTCCCTGTCGCACCCCGAAGCCAGTGTTTACGGCGGGCCGGGCGTTTCGCTTGAGACTTCCTCACCACTTATGACCCTGAAGCCGCAACAGTGGCAACGTTTTCACAGATGGAGGGCGGGTCGTTTACAAACAGAGGCGCCGCGCACTTTCGTTACAAACATTGCAACAGTTTCGCGGGTTGAGGGCGATTCGTTTTCGAAATGTGACTGTCGTCTCAGCGCCGCGCACATTCGTTCTCAACATTTGCAAGAGTTTCACGGGTTGAGGGCGGTACCTTTTCAAAATGTGGCTCTCGCCTGCGCGCCGCGCGCATGCACTTTTGAACAGTCTGCACCAGTTTCACGGACTCCCAGGATCGGCGTACCAGAAACTGTGCTTGAGCGATTCAGGATTATGATGGTGCAACAGTTACGATGGTTCGTGGTGTTGAAGTCCAAGGAATGGCGTTCTGGCACGATTCAGGATCGTCAAGACGCAACAGTTAGGTTGATCCGTGGCGTTGGGATCACGAAAACGATGATTTGGCATGCTTCTGGGTCTTCGCACGGTTGTCTTCCAACGAGGCAGTTCCCTCAGTGGAAATGAACCGTTGCAGGGGCCTGTGAAGAGGGAGCCTGGAGGGAGGTTTATTCCAATATCGTTGGAGACTCTTAGGGTTACGCTGGTCCTCCTCCTCCCCCCCGTCCTCCTCTGACCCTCCCTGTCCTCCTCCCCTCAACTGTTGCACATTATGCATGCCGCTTGCCTCTCTCCCCTAGCTCCGTGTGGGAGGTATTCGGACTTCTCCACGTGCTCTCTCCTTGCGCGCTGGATTGCAATTTGTTCTTGCAATTTCTTCTTGTCCCAAACAGTGCTTGCACACCCAGGGGCTCTCATTTTTCTACCATAGGAAACTGGGCCTGCGTGGCGGTCTGGCTGCTGCGTGGCCGCCGTCGCCGCCCCGTCGCCGCCTTGTGGCCGCCCGTCCCGCCCGTAGGCAGCACCACGTAGATTCTCTTTTCTAAAAGATTAATAGATTCTCCCCCCCCCCCTCCCCCCCGGACTTATCGGTCCCCCTTGGGATAGTATGATTTCATATATGTTCTGCACACTCGTCGATCCTAAATATGAAATCGTACCGTCCCAGCCAAACCGGGTCCCCCCCCCGGGTCCCCCCCCCTGAGGCTCCTTTGTAACAAGCACTATGCGGTGACATTTTTTGTTCTAACATAACACTTTGTCACCAATCCCTTGCAAACAAATGGGACGAAGTGCGCACGCGCGCGTCGTCGCGCGCGCATGCCGAAATCCTTCAAAAACCTTCGGTGCTGGAAGGGTTTCGCAATCGAGTTTCGAAAAAGCATACAACAACACACGGTTTAGCAACACTGATTTGCTAAAAATGCTAAAAGGTTTTTCAAGATTTTCACAAAATGCTACCAAACGGGCTTCGCGCGCGCATGTCGAAATCTGTCGAACGCCCTTGCGCGTGTGCCGTCGCGAGAATCCTCTGCAAAAAATGAGACGAACTGCAGACGCGCGCGTCGTCGCGGGCGTATGCCGAAAACCTTCAAAACCCATCGGTTTCGGAAGAATTTCAAAATCGTGTGTCCAAAAAACCTACAAAAACCCAAGGTTTCGCAACATGGATTTTCAACAAAAGCGTGCGCGCGCGTTCTTGCGTCGTCGTCGTCGTCGTCGCCGTCCTCCCTCCTCCCGCGTCGTCGTCGTTGTCGTCGACTACGTCGTCCTCTGTCTTTCCTCGTGTTCGTCGTCGTCGTCCTCTTTGGCGTCGTGGTCGTTTCCGTCGTCGTTGTCGCCGTGGTCGTCCTTCCTCCTCTTCCCTCGTCGTCGTCGTCGTCCGTCGTCGGCGTCCCGTCGTCGTCCCTCCTATTTCGTCGCCGTCGTCGTCGTCGTCGTTGTCGTCGTCGTCTTCCCTCCTCCCTCGTCGTTGTCGTCGTCGGCGTCGCCGTCCTCCCTCCTTCTTCGTCGTTCGCGTCGTCGTCGTCCTCCCTCCTCCCTCGTCGTTGTCGTCGTTGTCGTCGTTGTCTCTGTCGTCGTCGTTCCTCCTCCCTCGTCGTGCCCTTCGTTGGCGTCGTCGTCGTCGTCTTCGACGGCGTCGGCGTCGGCGTCGTTGTCGTCGGAGACGTCGTCGGAGACGTCGTCGGTGTCGTCGTAGTCGTTGTCGTCGGTGTCGTCGTAGTCGGTCTTAAGAGGTTTTGCAAACCAAGTTGCGGGTGGGTGGGTGGGATGTTTGCGCGAGCAGTGGGGATGACGACTTCAAGTTCTGCAGAGTGGATTGCACCGCATATATTGCGCCACGTAGATTGCACATAGTAGTTTTGGCCGTATCTTGCGCAACCTAGATTGCATAGCATACATCGCACCACAACAACATATATGGTTCTACATATCTATGTTCTACACCTATATACACATGTACCAATGTATATGTATATGTTTATGTGTGTATATATATATATCATACAGCAAGTCATGCACTGCCTAAGCGGCACCACATTGATTGCACCACATCGGTTGCATCACATATATTGCACATCGTATATGGCACGCCACAAATATTCTTCAGCATAAACACATCTATCGCACCGCACAGGTCCACCAGACAGGTGGACCCACACATTGCCTGCACCATACACCGTACCACATACATTGCACCACAGAAGCGGTACTACCTATGTTCCACATCACAGAGCACACCATATAATTCACCACGCAGATGACTCCATGTAGAGTGCCTCACACAGATTGTACCACTTAGGTTGCACCACGTAGATGGCACACAGGCCTCTCGCGCCGCGTGCCGAAATCATTCGCACGCCCTTGCGCGCGTGCTGGGGGGGGGGAGGCACGAACCGTGTCAAAGAACACCATGCGGGCCACTCTCGCGCGTCGGCCGCGCGCGCATGTCGAACCTCTTTTTCCAGAATCTTCACCAGTGGCGCGAGGACGCCGTCACCGTCGTCGGCGTGATCAGCATCGGCGCCCGGACTGGCTGCGCCGTCGTCGTTGTCAACGTCGTTGTCAGCATCGTCACCAGCATCGCTACTAGCATCATCGTGTCTACCGTTGTCGACGTTGCCATGCTACCGCGCCCGCCCAAGTCGCCGACTCGCACGGGGGTGCCCATTGGGATGTGCCCAGCGGTCAGCGCCATCGCGGCCGCCTCGGTCGCGTCAAACTAGCTGGCCGCAGCGCGCGCGTGCTTGGGTTGGCGCGGCCGCAGAGATGCACTGGCCAACGACAAGCACTCATCGCAATCGCCACCGCAGGGGTTTTGCAAGCCATGTTTTTGGTTGCTGGGTGGGCAGTTTGCAAAAACAAGGATTGCGTCAACTCGTTTGTCATAATCGATGGCACCTCGTATATTGTACAGCATACATGCCACACTTTCGCTGGGTAGAAACGCGTAGTTTGGGGCCTACGCTGGCTAGCACCCTCTGTTGTTTGATGTCCGTTTGTTTTCGGTGTTTCAATATGGTGCTCCCTCTGCAGCGTGGGGCCTCATTTCGGATCGGCTCTTTGTTCCCGTCGTTCGTAACGGCGCTCTGGCCCAAGCGTGGGCCACCTTTCTGGATCCGAGTTTTTTCATCGTTGCCACCCCCCTTCATGCCCCCTCCTCCGACCACCCCTGCTTCTCCTGCTTTTCCCGCTCTTTCCACTCTCGTTCCCGCTGCTGCTGCTGTTCGTCCTCGTCCTCCTCCTTCCACATCCTCCTTCTCTTGCACCTGCCCATCCTCCAGTTCATTCGCCAGCTCCCGGCTCCTTTCTCCCATGTGCGCAGTTCCCCTTTCAACAATTGCGCATGGGACGACGGGGTCTCTTTGTTGGAATTGCAGGTCGGCTACGACACGCGCTTTCGGATAAAGCAAACAGTCAGCGCGATGGAAAGGGTTGGGAGGGAGGGGCAGGATGTCAGATGAGGCGCGATCGCGCCTAGTTTGTCCTCCCATTCTTTCCCATTCCCCCTCTGACACTCCCCCCCCCTTCACCATTTCCCCCCACACCATCCTTTCCCCCCTCCATACTTACACACCATGAATACTATTTCCCGTTTTTCCCAGGTGACGTCCGGAAGATCTCCGACCCCCCTCCGTCTTGTTCTTTACACCGGATTTTTGTTGCTGTGTTGAAAGCTTTTAAACATGATAGTTTTTTGTCGTTAAAAAAGAAAATGCTGTTCCCGCTGAAGCGCTGACCTCATTTTCGGGCTTCCGCTCGTTCCGAATCGTGCTCCCGCCGTAGCGGCGGCCTCATTTCTGCGCTTCCGCTTGTTCCGAATCGTGCTCCCGCTGCAGCGCCGGCCTTCCTTCCAAATGAGCTCCCCCCCCCCTCCGAAAAAAACATCGGAAGTGATTGCGCATTCGATGTCGATTTGTTGATTTTCTGGGTCGCAGACGCCCCCACCCCACTTTGGGGCGTCGTCGCTTTCAGGAAGTATCAAGCGGGAGCCCCGTTTCTGCTGTAAGAAGGCGATGCTGAAAGCAGAGCCAGCGTGTGCCCTCCATCAGTCCCGTCTTGCGCGGAGCTCTTTCGGGGAGTCCAAACTTATCGGCCCAGACTTATCGAAGACGATCCATTCACCCTCCAAGGAACCTGGCGCCTTGCCATGACATGCCGTGCGGTGTTGTGTTCTGCGCCGCTGTGCGATGTCATGCTTTTCGTGGAAATTATTTGTGATGCTATGCCTCACTGCGAAATCCCACGCCATGCTATGGCATGCTACGCCCTGCCGTGCTTTACTACGCCATGCCCAGCGTGTCCCCCGTTCCGTTCGGTTCTCTTCGGTTCGGGGGAAATTGGTTCGGTTCAATACGGTTCCGGTTTCGG